CCATACCACCCACCCTGCCCCTACCCCCATCCTGAATAGAAATATTATTAAGAGTATTTTCTTTCATGTTATAGATAGAGTACTTTTTTTTTAATTTCAACAAAATTAGTATTATTTTTTTCATAATGTAAAAGTATTTTTATTCATTTCAACAAAAATAAAGTACTTTCTTTTCATGATGTAGAAAAGTATTTTCTATCATTTTAACAAAATGAGTATTTTTTCATGTTGTAGAAAAAATACTTGCTTTTTCAACCAAAAATTTTTTATTTTCTTTTTAGTTATGTGACACAAATTTTAACGTTATTTTTGCGTGAAAAAGTAAAGCAACACATTAGGCCCTTTGGGTCTGTGTGAATTTTTAAAAGAATAATTAAACTCTTAAAGAAAATAGAGTTCTCAAAACGCTAGGTTTTTTGGTTGTGGGTGGGGGTAGGGGAGGGGCATAGGAAACATGGGAATTTGGGGGAAGGTGGATAAGGAAAGTAGCATAAAAAAAATTACACTCTAAACAAATACTAAAAAATATTTTTCGAAAAAAAAAAATTCGCCCACCCAACTAAACAAGGAAAAATAAGTGACAAAATCACTCATTTTCCATTTCCCTTCCTACCAAACGCACCCTAAGTTGTAAGGCATAGAGACATAACCTTTTCTTAGGCTTTTTCTTCACGGAAATATATGGAGTTCGTAATGATGAGTCCCCTTGTCATCATTACCATACTTGAAAATATTAGCCCCTCTCTCTTTCTTTTTATTTCTCATAAATTACTTTCTGTTAAATTAGATAACTATCTTATTTATAAAATTTAAATAATTAAAGAGATTACACTTTTATTTACTATTTAATTATATGATTAATAACATCATGTTCTTTTATATGTGAGTTAAAATATTTTCATAGATCAAGCACGTAAAGATTCTTTTTGATAATAAGGGCCAGTAAGACCTGAGTCGATAACCTCTATTCAGATGAGGATGCATCATAAAAACAAATATTAAATTAATTAGAACTCGTAATTTTAAAAAATTCATAATACGTACAGGCTAAAACTTCTCAGAGTTCGAATTCATTAAGTTTAAATTATAAGTCCGCACCCATTGTTTACTCTAATATTATCTTGAAATTGTATGATCATCTCTAATCTTTATTGCGTAACACATGGAATTAATGCTTATACCCACTGAATAATAATGAAATATTTTACCTTACGGTGTGGGATAATACTGAGTATATTATTATTGTTGTACACACTAAATAACAACAAGGTCCACCTATTTATAGGATCTCATTGCCTTCCTATTTCACTCAAATCTTCATTTCATTTCATCATTTTCGAAACTTCTTCTTCTTACTCTTCTCTCAAGTAATTAAAACCAGAAGAAAAAAAAAAGTATACATAAGAAAACCACACATAGAGAGAAATGTGTATCAATTCTTCAGAATGGAGTAAATCACGTATCCTTTACATTTCTGGCCAGAAACAAAAACCAAAGCGTTCCAGAATCCAAGTTTATAGGTAACTTTACACAGTTTATACTATTACTTTCTTTTGAGCAGCGGCGGAAGCAGAATTTTCATTAAGGAAGTTCAAAAATTAAAAAAATTAAACACGCGAAGAAGCTAAGAGAATTCAATATTTAATATATTTACAAGAAAAATATTTGACCTTGTATACACAATATAATTTTCGGCGAAGAGAGTTCGGCTGAACCCCCTTCTACCCACCTAGTTCCGCCCCCCCTGCTTTTGAGGTGTGACTTTCTTGTTGCCTTCTCTATGCGTTTAACTTTTAGACACTAACAACGTAAAGAAATTTTACATTATCATTGCAGTTTAATAATTTACCGTGTTTTGCAAGTTATCAGTTCATGATAGGTTGTCTACATCACATTCTTTAGGATACGACTCTTTCCCAGACCCTACGTGAACATGAAATACTTTGTGCACTGAGTTGACGGCCCTTTATTTACTCTGTATGTATTACATGACCGAAGTATTTTGTGCTTTTTAGGAGGAAGAAAAGTGAGGAAAAGCTAGCAGGAAAGGATATGGAATTGAGAAACTTGAAGCTTTACATGGAGAACATGAGCATATTAGAAGAAAATGAGAAATTAAGGAAGAAAGCCAATCTCCTTCACCAAGAAAACCTTGCTTTAATGTCTGAATTTCAGAAGAAATTTTCTCAGTTGGATCGAGTTTCCGCCACCCTTAATCTGCTTCTTCTTCATAAACAACCATGTCAATGAAGAATCAGTGGCGGAGCTAGAGCATTAGTTACTGGTTAGGACGAACCAATAGCTTTTGCTTAAAATTTGTAACTAAAACGAGTTATGAGTTTGATATCAAGTTTAGAATTCATAAACCTCAGTTCCTGGCTCCGCCTCTATAACTATATGAAGAAAGCCCTTGCTTCACTTATTGTAGCTTTTCTAGCTTATGGCTTTGTCTCTTTGTCTCTCTTTCAAAAGTTCTGCTAATAATAATGGGGTATTATCATTTTTGGTCCGCGCCAGAAACTATTTGTATTCGGTAGCCGAAAAAGTGTATAACATTTGTATAATTTTTGTATATAACATACAAAATGTATATATATACAGAAAAAATATACAAAAAATATACATTTTTTCGGCTATTATTTTAAGAGCGATTATACAATGTCATTTTTCCAATAATAACTGTTATATTAATGAGAAATGGATGGTGAAATAATATTTATCATGTGTCTACTATATGTCCCAATCAAACTATATATGCTGCTTATGATCTTTGTAAACCACTTTGTTTATAGAGAGTTTAATACATAGTGTAAAAGATATTTTACACATCGGATTGTTACTTAAAAGATAACGACAAGTAATTCCACGTAATAAATTTAACTGCTTACTTGGAAAATAAGGTAGGCGTCCGGTTCCAAACAAAAAAGGGCAGTCCGGTGCCGGGAAAGGGTCGGACCACAAGGGTCTATTGTATGCAGCCTTACCCTGCATTTCTGCAAGAGGCTATTTCCACGGCTAGAACCCGTGATCTCCTGGTCACATGACAGTAACTTTACCAATTACGCCAAGGCTCCCCTTCTGTTCCAGACAAGTCGGGATAAAATTTTAACATACTCATTCTGTTGCTGTATATGTATACACTAGTTCCTCATTTAGGGAGTAAAACCCTTCACGTTAAGAAACTCTTCATTCTTAGTTCTCGAACTCAGAGAAGAAATCTCAACCATTTCACCGCGCGTTGGGTGTTAAAAGTCAGGGCTATTGTCTCGAATAAGTTTACAGTTCAAAAAGTAAATGTGATTTAAATCTGTCAAAGCTAATTGTGAAGTACACATAAGTTAAGTCTAAGACCCTTAAAGGACGAACCAATCAAATTCAAATCCTGGATCCGCTTCTGATTTCTTCCCGAGATAGAGCTCAGTCCACAAAGGTATCAGCTTGCTGAAAACTTCTTAGTTCTTCCTATGAAGCCACCACTTCATCGCATTCTACACATCGTGTCTCAGTATGCGCCATATTTTCCTCTTCCTATTGTTGTTTTCCGGTGAAAACAATTTAGAGATGGTTTACCTAAGCACTACGGTGCATAAGAGGTAAACAGCACAAGTTACCAGATAGACGCAGAGACTTGATCCGATGAGAAGACTGGAGAAAGTATACTGGACTCGACGCTCACAGCTCTTTTGACTGCTGCTGTGACAATCTGTATATCCGGAATGCTGCAAAGCACATTGTGGCATTACCAATTACTGTCAAAGCTGCTTGGAGAGCCACTACTACCTGAAATTCATGAACGAAACGTTAGTCATATCTCCATGACAGAAAAAAAAATTCTGCTATACCGAAGATTTTAAGCCTAAATGCATGTTAACGGCGGCCTATAAGGGAATGAGAACCAGTTCTCATATCAACATTTTTGCTTTCGTTATTCGTCCCTTCGGTCCTCTTTTTATCTTATTGTTGTTTATACTTGTTGCCATTGCTTATTTTTATTTTTTCTTAAGCCGAGGGTCTTCCGGAAATAACCTCTCTGTCTTCTAGGCTAGGGGTAAGGTTGCGTACATCAACAGCTCCTTAGATCACACTTGTGGGAATTAACTGGGTTTGTTGTTGTTGATGTTGTATAGGGCTTAACAACAACAACACACCCAGTGTAATCCCACATTGTGAGGTCCGGGGAGAGTAAAGTGTACGAAGTCCTTATCCCTACCTTACGAGGGGGAGGGAAAAGGGTGGAGGGAGAGGTTGTTTCCCAAAGACCATCGGCTCAAGAAAAACTACATAGGGCTCAACATATTTTGTAAAGATTATTCACAAGAGAATATGAAGGGGCTTATATCTAAACCAGGCTGCATATTAGGATAGTCAAACTGTCATATTATATACTAGGCTGAGTGTCACTGCAATCATTATTCCAATAGAAGTTCATAATTTTCGTTCGAGGAAAAGAATTACATCTACTTACCTCAAGAGACTCCGAATTATAAAAGAAATGCCAAGTGCAGGCACAGAGTGCTCCTCCAAGCAGGGGCACCTAAATTAAAAAGTCGTAATGAAGTCACTTATGAGCCAACAAGACGCAAGGATGGGGAAAAAAGAAATGGAGATACGTGCAAAATGATCGAAGAGAATCATAAAGTGATAATTCAACACGACCAATTAAGAAAATTACAAGCCAACAAGACGCACAAATGGGGAAAAAGTAATGGAGATAAGTGATAAATGATCAAAGAGAATAATAAAGGGATAATTCAACATGACAAATAAACAAAAAACATCATTTACGAGCCAACAACAGAGCAAAAAACAAAGGAACCAGATACAAAGATGGGGGGAAAGGAATACAGGAGCTAAACGATCGAAGAGATACATGAAGTCATAACTCAGAATGACCAATCAAATAAAACACATCAGTTTGTTATGAAAAGAATATATTCTCGCAACCTGAAAAACTCTCTTTGTGAATGACTTCTAAATTTAGAAAGAAATTCAATAATCAAAATCAACAAAATTTAGACTTTTGAACTATCTTAGCCGTGAGATGGGAAAGGTATGAAAGTGAAAAAGGAAACCTGAAGAGAAAGAAGTTCTAAACTCCATAGATGGCCACCAACTATATAACAGTAGCACTGTGATGGGAGCGTAACCTCAACAACCTGTGTCACATGTACATGTTTTCTGCTGCCGCTCTGGCGCTCTCTATGAAGCATTTCACAGTTGGACAGCAATGTCATTTAGGTAGGTTAAAAGCCACAAGAACAAATTTTGCATCTTGGTTGATGATACCTGTTTGGAATTGAGGCGTGGTTGTTATTGTTGCTTTTGGCTGATGATGATATTGGAAAAAAGACTTCATAAACACCATATTCTCCCTCAAAGAGTCAGCCATGAATCAATAAAAGATACAACTATCCTCCACAAAGTTTGGGATTGGTAGAATTTAGGAAATGGATTGGTGGAAGATAATCGGAATCATCAAAGAATGATAAGTTGACTGCAATAAGGGGCGACAGTGAATATACTCATTTCGGTTTCTTATTGATTCTGTTTATTACTGTTTTGGTAATAAAATGTTAATGGGCTAATTAAGTAAGCTCGGCGACAATCCACAAAGAGAGAATTAAAAGACAAAAAGTTTAAAGGCCTAAAGCAACTTAGCATAGTCATTACTATAACAAGAGAAAAGAGACGAATAAAGACATTTAGACTATTGTCTGATTAAACATATGAGAACACACTTTATAATTAACATGAAAGACTGTTCTGTACATCCAGAAGAACACAGTTTAAGTATAACAAACATTTCGACTGGACCAGATATAGGCCCTGATCAGATGTTCCGCGACTCTTATATTACAGTGAATGAGTTTACCATGTCGCAAAGCTTGGCACGTAGTTCTGTTTTGACTCGCTCTACAGAGTTTACAAATGAATACACCCAACTTATTTTTTTCAAGTTCTATATAGTACATAGCATGGAAAATTCTTGTCTTTTGAGCAACAAAAAAATTTCAAAGATTGTTCTTTCTGGAATATTTGAGTTCAACTGCCTATTTACGATGCCAAGTCTACTAAACTGTCGTCTCATTAACAACAGTTCAAACAAACATTTAGAAGTGCCAATATAGCATTTGTCATCAACCAAACTGAAATTTTTCACGCGTTGAGCTAACTCGTTTTCAAAAAGTATATACAGTTAATGTGAAGCTCGTTGACATAAATCAGATTCAATATTGTAGGCATAAAGTACAGAACTCAAGCAAATTAAACAAACAAGTATGAGCAAGATTGCCTACCATAGCCCAGGAGAGTCCCTTCCAAGATTCATAACCTGACTTCTCCCCATATTGCCAAACCAGAGCCATAGCAGTTACCCTTTTGTACAAAGTAAATAATCAGTCATTTCATTTAACACGAAAGAAAAAAAGAACATATGAACAGATCAACTTGCCAACCCCATACTGCGATGAAGTGCACTGCACATTGCAATACTCCTCCTATCCCAATTTCCACAATTTTCAAGCATTCAAATTCATTATATTATTCAAATTAATATAAGATGTAATAATTTAAAATGACAGCCCGGTACACGAAGCATCTCGCGTTTATGCAAGGCCCGGGGAAGGACCGCACCTTAAGGGGATGTGATGTAGGCAGCCTACCCAAATGCAAGTATTAATAGTTGATTCCACAGCTCGAACCCGTAGCCTATAAGTCACATGGAGACCTATTTGATGCAATATTTTACTGTAGAAAAATCCCTCTTTTATACAAATATCTTAATTTACCCTCCGTTATACTTTGAGATCATTCATACCTCATTAGCAAACTATCTTGTACTTGCCCTTGACCCTAGCAGAGCTACGGAGAATAATTATAAACAACAGTCGAACGTAGAAGAGTAAATTTAAACACTTTTCCCCAAGTATTTTCAGGCACTAAATTCACTAACCCATGTGGGAGCTTCTTTAAAGCCAAGGGCAAACATGAGGCGATTTGGTAATGTCAAGAGTATGGCGACCTCAAAGTATAATGGAGGTTAAAATTAAGATATTTCAAATAGTAGACGGGTAAATTTGGACATTTTACCAATAATATTAATCCGGGGCTAATCCATAGCATATGTTACAGAGTATTCTGAACTCAGTAGCTTTAGCTCAAACCTTGTAGAGGTGTTTAAATACTTACTAAAAAGGCAGCCCGGTGCACTAAGTTATGCAACCTTACCCTGCATTTTTGCAAAAGGCTATTTCCATAGCTCGAACAAATGACCTCCTGGTCACATGACAGCAACTTTACCAGTTATATCAAGGCTCCCCTTCCGTTTAAATACTTACTAAATTAGTAAAAATGATAGATTTTGGACCAATAAATTAAATGAACCGTGATAGAATCTCGAACGCATAAAGTAATTGATCCGCCTCTAATAATATATGGATCAAATTAAAAACATAAACTCCTTTTCAGGCAAATATCAACAACAACAACAACCCAGTCAAATCCTACACGTGGGGTCTGGAGAGGATAGAGAGGTTGTTTGCGAGAGACCCTCGGCTCAAGAAAAATGAAATAAACAGTAAAAAACAAGCAATATCCACAAATAGGGCCAGAAAGATAAATATAATCACATAAACTTAAAAAGAGAAATTACCACTCAACAACACTAGAAACATGACTAGCCCAAGTGTGTAATGAGAGAGCATTTGAGGGTTCATTAAATTGGAATGAAGAACCCATTAAAGCCAATTCAGAACCAGAGGCAGGTCCCACATTTAACAATGTAAAACCAAGTCCAGTGACACCCAAAACAATGGCAGCATTATATTTCAAGTTCTGAGATGGAATACTGATAATGGGTGCTGGAAATTGGGCTCTTTTTCTTGAAAAGAAGAGAAAGTTTGGAGCTTTAGTTGATAAGGTGAATTGGGTTTGTTTTTGTTTTGGAAGAAAGTGAAGTTTTGAGAGAGAAAATGAGGTTGAAACTGCCATTGTTGTTTGTTCGAGGACTACTGGAGTGTTGGATTTGAGTAAAAGATGTTTTTAGATAAGAGGTAAAATGACAAAAATGTCCTTTATGACTTGTGATTTATCAGTAAGCATTTAACAATTTTTTAAAATTGTCAAGTAGCCGCGATTAAAAAATAAAAATAAAAATAAAAACATAAATATAGTTTGTAAGAATATATTTTTGGGATGGGGCATCATTTGAATTTTGGACTAGGTAAATTGTAATTGGGATTGCTTATTTAAATTTAGTCTAATCTGTCAAATGATACCCAATCCCTTTATCCATCTACTAAACTATTATTTAACTAATTTTAAAGTATGTGTTGCTGGTATATTTTTTTCCATAAGTAATCTATCTATACTATATTAAAAGCACGAAGGTCCTTAGTGAAATGTCGTTCGCCTTTTTTACCCTTTTAAAATAATGTTCACACTGGACAAAATAGTCATTCCATTATTTTTCTAATATTTAAAAATATTATTTAATTATTTTCCTATATTTAGGAATAAAGATTTAATTAGTTTCCTACTATTTAGGAATAGTCATTTAATTAATTCCCTATTATTTAGGAGTAATCATTTAATTATTTCCTAATATTTATAACTTTTATGTTTTAATACCTTTATGTTCTAGAATTTCAAGTACATTGAATTTACACTATGAAAGTTTTGTTCATGTTCAAGTTCATTCATACGTTGGAGTATCAAATTTCTCTTTTTAGGTTTAGAAGGGTCTTTTTTAGTTAATAAAATTTTGACATATTATTCACACGCAGCTCAATTTGACATATTATTCAAATTTCAAGTTCATTCATACGTTGTACTCCTTTTAGGTTTAGAAAAAAACAAAACACTTTGAACTTCTTTTTGATTTAGGAGTATTTATTTTTTGATAATATTTTCTTTGTCTATTTGAATTATACACAATTAAACCTTATTTGAATTATATAAGCGACTACTTCTATTAAAGAAACAACGATTTCATATTTTATTATCAAAACTTTGTGTTGTTCGGGTATTGAGCAAAAAGATTTGTATTAGTAGTTGAATTTTGAATTTACGTATTTGTATTAGTAGTTGAATTTATTCACAAGCTAATTTAAATTACGCATTCACGTATATTATTTTTAAAAGTTTGTTCTTATTAATACGAGGGTCATGCGCTATATTAAAAACATGAAGCCCCTTAACAAAATATTGTTCGCCTTTTTTATCTTTTAAAAATAAGAGGGTGTTTGGTTAAGCTTATAAGCTGGTCAAATTGGCTTATAAGCACTTTTTGGCTTATCTACGCGTTTGGTAAAATTAAAAGTGTTTATAAGTTAAGTGCTTATAAGCCAAAAATAAGTCAAAAGCCATAAGTTGGTCTCCCCCAACTTATCAAATTTCAGCTTATAAGCACTTTAAGTTTGACCAAAATATTTACTATTCTATCCCTAAAATACTTCTTTTTAAAACAAAACTCTTCGTATACCCAGTTCTTCAGGTGCATATTATTAATTTTAGCACTTTTATCCAAACACATAACTGCTTATTTTTTAAATAAATTTCAGCACTTAAAAGTGATTTTCAGCACCTAATGTTTATCAGCTACTCTAAATCAGCTAAGCCAAACGGGCTCTAAGTTTCATACTAGACAAATTAGTCATTTAATGCTTCCCGAATATTTAGGAGTAATTTTTTCCTTATTTTAACTACTTTGTAAGAATTTCTATATAAGATTTTAAAAGTTTAGTATTTTACCTAAATTTTTTTCTTATTTGGACTTTGTAATATAAATATAATATTTTTTGAAAATTTAGATGGGGAGAGCATTCTCGCCTATATTCCTCAATGAAGTATCTATTTTTTTAAATAACTCTTATGTAGTTATTTCTAATTTTGAAGCTTAATTTGACAGATTTTAGTGTTCCTTAATAAGGATGCAATATCAAGAAAACAAAAGACTATGAAAAATAGGCAAAGTTGTTTCTGACAAGAAAACTGCCACAAAAAAATGATTCTTCGGCTTTTTGTCATTATATTTTAAATTTTTAACCACATAAGAACAATTTTTTCCCTCTATTTTTCTTTCATATAACCTATTCACGGTTAGTAAAACTCAATTTACAAGTGTTTTTTAAAAATTTGATTGATATTTACTCATAACTATTCTTGAAATTTGATTCCGTAAGTGTTTCGACAATATTTTTTAGATAATATCTATTATTAGGTTTACAAATTGGAGTTATTTTCATAAAATTAATTTGTAATTTTAAATATTCAGTTTAAATAATAAGTATCTTGCTCAGACCAATAAATAGAGCTGAGGTTCTAGTTAAAGCCGCTAATAGAAAAGCGAAATAACCAGTTATAGTAAGCATGAAAGGGCTAAATTAAATGAAAGATGTTCAAATTGAAAGCTTAACTGATAATTTATATTTTTTCTTTCTTGGATTTTTGAAGACAATGTACCTCTGTCATCTTTATTTCATTACTCAAATAATTTATAATAAAATATTTATGTAATTTTTACTATTTTATACTTATTAAGATAGGATACACGTGCAACGCGCGTACACTTAGACTAGTTTTTTCAAAAATGACATGCGTCTATTAAAAATTATGTTTAAGTTAGAGTGAATACTCTAAACCCCCCTTAAACTATTATGTTTTTATCAGTTACAAACTTAAACTATTTGGTGTCCCTAAAAATTCCCCTTAACTATATCCCCTATATATTAGAAAACCCTCGTCAATTTTTTAGTGAAATATGTAAGGTAACTCGCTAAAAGGCACGTGAGAGATGAAATTATAGATAAAATGGCACCCAATTAGCCATTTCTAATGGTTAATTACTGTTGCCCTCTTTAAAAAATTTAATTTTTGTATTTTCCCTCTATTTCTTTGTATTCTAGCCTTCTTCTTCATTATTTTTATCTTTCTTCTTCCTTTATTCTTACGGGTTTCATATGAAATTTATTTCTTCTCTCACTTGTTTCTTCAAAAATTATCTTTCTTCTTCATTTAGGTATTCTTCTTTCAACCAAACCCTAATTGTTTTTCCCAAATCTCGTATTAAACTATAATTCCCGGGAAGACGAAGGTTATTGGGAAAAATCCAATGTTTAATCGAAGTTTAATGGTAAAAATCACGATTGAGATATGATGTAGCCATTATCGGAGGAGATAGAAGAGATTTTATTTTATTTACAAATGACCATGTGTTTATCCCTGCATCCTCTTCCTTTGATTTTTTTAAACCCCAAAACATTTACCCATTTAATTATTTTTTATTATTATTTAAAATTCTTAATTAAATTGATATATCAGATTAAGTTGAGTAAATAGAAGGGTGTATCACACTCACCACTAAAAAATCGACGAGGGTTTTTTAATATATAGGTATATATAGTTAAAGGGGATTGTGGGGGCACAGGATAGTTTAAGTGGGTAACTGACAAAAACCTGATATTTTAGGGTGTTTAAGTTATAAAATACGAGTTTAAGCACCCTACAGTAAAAGGACAAAGATGTCACAATCTGAATCACAATACCACAAATTTGAAGCTTAAAGACTTTATGAATCCCTCAATAATACATGGTATTTGTCCAAAAAGTATGGTTAGCTCATTTTCTTTTCTTCCTGAAAAATTACAGATGGAATGATGAAAAAAGAAGAAGAAACACATTCCACATGACATTTGGTGATGCCATCCTTTAGTTGTACCATGAGGTTCTTGACACCACAAGAACCTCCGCGGCGGAGATTTTTTCAAGATCTCCTCTTTTTTCTGATAACCGAGAAATCCCCTAAGGTCAGCTAGTGCACGATTCGAACTTGGTGAATAATCTGTTTAAGATCACTTTTAGAAGTATATTTTCTTAAATCACCCAATAACAGTTTCTTTCTTCTTAGCCCACAGCATTACTAGAGAGAAGCCCATTAATGACATGATCACAACCTGCAAAAAGGATACAAAACAGATGTTCTTAGAAATGACTACAAATTTTTGAGAATCACAAGCTAAGGAAAAGTAAGTTATACCTACAAGCTTCAAATGGTCAATGCAATCAAGAGTCATCAATTGGTCAACTACACCTTAATAACAAACTTGATGGGGTCAGGGGCGGATGCAGCATGAAGACACCGTGTTCATCTGAACCCAGTATTTTCTATGCGGAACATAAATTTATGTGTAAAAGTTAACTAAAATTGCAACAAATAGTCAAATAGTAGATATGAAGTCATAACTTTAAAAATATAATGGATTCAACACCAAAACTCTTTAGGTTGAACCCATAGAGTTTAAATCCTAAATCACCTCTAGTTGGGGTCACACATATGAATCCTCCATATTCCAAGACAGAAGTTGCAAAGCGATGTAATCTGAAGACCAAATAATCCTAATATCATGTAAAACGATGTGCTCGTGTCCCGTCAACCTGAAACTAAACATCATAAAAAGGAGACACCTGCTTTATTTAGTAATGTGATCCTCTGAACCCAGTGTTTTCAGCTCTGCCTAGTACATGTATGTTAAAATCCGTTAGAATTGACGTATATGAGAGAACCTAACCTAGTGTTTCAAGGGACAAACTGGTGCAATTGCATTTGCTCCTCAAACCTACATCCTAGATCCACCTCCGGTATCAAGACTTACATCCCATAATTAAGAGGAAAGCATCTAAGCTAAAGTTTGTAGTTATTTTGAGTAATTAGAGTGTTGATTCTACCATAGATAGACTAACCAAATCAACTCTCTTCTCTTATCTTCTTCAATAAGAAAGGAAATTTGTGTAATCGATAGTGTACTTACTGATATAGCTGGAGGGACACCAACAAGAGGATCTTGGAAAAACTTATTCGCAAGAGCAAGGGCCAGAAGACTGCTCTGCATGCCTGCAAACACATCACAGAATGACAAAATCAATCAAGATCCAATAATATATCACCGAGTGCATGGTGATAATACTAGGTAAATCTTCGAACCTGTTTCATATGACAGCGTTCTTTGTAGAGCTTTGACGTCTGGTGCTTTGTGGAATGCTATGCCGGAAAGTAAATAACCCAAGATGAACGCCGACAAATGAAATGCAATCACAAGCAACAAAACGGACATTCCAGAAGGGGATACGAGAGACTCTATGTTAATAGCAAGCGGAGCTCCAACACAAAGAGCAGTCACAAAAACTGATAGTGGAGGCAACAACGGCCGAATAGCATTGCAAATCTGCGGAAAGAATCTGTTGAAGCGAAACCAAAAGTCATAAGAGTGAAGTTCGGATTGTAGAAGGATACACATATTGAGTATTCACAACATCAATACCTATTCATAAGCAGTCCACCAGCAACAGGTGCAACGACAATCTGCAGTATGTTGGAAACCATTCCCTTAACATCCACAGGCAACTTTTTCCCAATAAGCAATAATGATAAAATAGGGGTGACAAAAACAGCAGTAGCTGTCGATAACGATGTCATCACTATACTAAGAGGGGCCATTTGTGGATCTGTTAGAAAAGTAGCGTAATTTGACAGCTGTGCTCCACTAACACACGAGGTCAACATAATCCCTGCAGCTGATACACAGCTCATAGAACTTTAGTCAACGTACAAATTTTTCCACTGGTAAAAGTAATCAGAGATTTTACCTAAGGAAGTTGGCAGGTCAAATACAGTCATTGCAAGTGTGCCGAAAAGATATCCGAGCAGGGGCTTCACAGCAAATTGACCAATATAACCAGCAAAAATTGCAGCTGGTTTCTTGAAAGCTTCAAGAAAGTCCTTTTCACTTGAGTTGACTCCAACTGCAAACATTAAAAAACCCAACGCAGGGGCATAGTACCTAGAAACAGTAAACGACACGGTAACTATGAGATTATAAGATGAGATTCAAAAAGCTAAACAATTTGAACTTTTTGGTGTACGCTTCGCAACTTTTTGCCTCATACTACGGGTCTCTAGCTTTCCTAGATAGACAATGTGAGAGACCAAAATAGTGCAATATTGATACCTTTTTCAGCATTCAAGTCTATACCTCCACCCTTTTCTAGAGGTGTTATATGGATACAAAATTAGATATTTTCATGGAAAACTTTCAACATGATTCTCGTGTAAGATGGTATTACTCTCACCTATCGCGCAGGTCTCTACCTCACCTCTTGTTACAACTAATGGCAATTGGTCAGACATAGAAGTCTCAACATACATTTATGAGGATAAGCCAAATTATATGATCAACCCATAAGATGTTCACTAAGCCTTATAAAGATTTTCTATTTCGTCGAGAATGCAGTTAATTATTTGTGCAGGCAAAATATATATAAGTTTCTTCCCGCAACCTTGTTTTTAATACATGGAAGGCACTTTCTTTATGCAGTAACCAAAGTTAGTTAATATGACAAACAGCATCCATGTCAACGAATTGAATTCTTTGTCTAGCAGACAAAAGTAGCAGTTAACGAGATAAAATTTTAAAACTAAGCATCCTACAGTTATGTTACCCTGGTCCCTGTGAGCTCCGAATATTGAATAAAGTTACCGGACGTAAAGCATAACTTTTCAGCGAGGCTTAAAGTAGATAACATGAGAGACTTGTGGGATAGAACAAATTCATTTAGAAAAAAGGCATCAATTGAATGACATACAAACCTGTTAGTAAACCACGTAAAAGAAGGTGGATATATAAGAGCCAAAATTGTGCTACCAAGAACCACATGGGGCAGAAAAGAGTTTGCTCCCTTCAAAATTGTCAAAAAGGTGTTCTCTTTCTGTTTCAGATTCTGAAATAGCACAAAGTCTATTGTTAAAGATAGTCAAATCCCACAATTCAGAGGTGGGCTTCGAAACATCCTAGAAAACAATTTAACCCCTCTTTCCTCTATATTATGTTTTCCTTTTCTAAGATATGGGGACACGCAGATTACATTTAAGAACAAAAATATGAGGTATTTAGCACTTTTAGCTTTACAGGTTCAAGAGAAAGAAGCGTTAGAGAAGAGAAGTCCTGAAACAATCCAAACCTTCACGTTCTGTAGTAATAACAGATAGTACATCAGCTTAAGGGAAAATAAAGTGGCTCTAAAGGAGCAAGAAATTTTGCATCCTAAATCAAATGCTTCTCAGATTTGGGACTTTATGCGCATAAAAAGAGAACATTACCGATCAGGCTCAGATTTCAAAGAAACAATGTTATTCACAGCCGTACCCTCTCAGAGAAAATGGTTTTTGCCAATAAATTACAAGTCTCTAATTGCTCTATTCCACATACAATACAAGTCAAAGTCAGAAACATACAATTGAACTTTGAGTAGAAAGATTGAAAAGTTCAAAAGGAAAACCTCAAGTGATTCAGAGTCACTTGGCCCAAGCGAATCAGGGAACTTTTTTGAGATACATCTACTAATTAACAGTCTTGAATTACCACCTATACAAAAAGATCACATTTATAAGTAAAGAGTACATCAAAAAGGGCTAGTTCCACAATCACTATAACAGTAAAGTCAGAAAAACTATTATTTTGTAACTTTACCCAATGTATCAGTAAAGTAACTAAATTTTACCCAATACAATAGTTTTACGACTTTACCCTAGCTAGGTAACAGTAAAGTTATCTCCGTGTGACCTATAGGCCACAGGTTCGAACTGTGGAATCAACCACTGATGGCATCAGGGTAGGCTGCCCACATCACACACCCTTGGGTTGCGGCCCTTCCCCGAACCCTGCGTAAATGCGGGATGCTCGTGCACCGGGCTGCCCCTTTTACCGTAGCTCAGTGACCGTACATGAAATTAACCTCATTGTTAACTAAACTTGAGAAGCTAAAAAGATTCAAACTTTAAGCAAAGTAAACTACAATTGGGTACAAAACACTTACTTGCCAATGTGGATTGCATAGTTGATGAAAACCCCTTTAATCGTACCCCTTCAAGAACACCAGTATAAGTTACACCAATTCATCAAAAGGGACTGTAGAAATACACTTGATACTGAAAAATGATTAAAAAAACCGTACTTTTTTTAATCAATAGTACCCTTCAAGAATCCAAGTACAAATTGAACTAATTCATCAAAAGGGACGGTAGAAATATACTTATACTGGAAAAAACTCATAAAAATCTCTCTTTTTTCATTATTGATACCCCTTCATGAACCCCAAGTACAAGTTGGATTAATTCATCAAAAGGGACCGTAGAAATTCACTTCATACTGAAAAAACAACATAAATATCCATTCTTTTTGGTTTAATCAATTGTACCCTTTCAAGAACCCAGGTACAAGTTGGACAAATTCATTAAAAGGGACAGTAGAAATACACTTGATACTGAAAAAAAAAAATCATTAATTTTTTTTTCTACTTACAACTATAATTGGATTAATTCATCAAAATGACAGCACAAATACACTTGATGCTTAAAACTCATAAATCTCCTCTTTTTTTCTACTTGCAAGTATAATTGGACTAATTCATCAAAAAGGAAAGTAGAAATACACTTGATACTGAAAAATAGATCATAAAAATCTCCTCTCTTTTTTTCTAATTACAAGTATAATTGGACTAATTCATCAAAAGGACAGTAGGAATACACTTAATACTGAAAAAAAATCATAAAAATCTCCTCTTTTTTTCTACTTACAAGTATAATTTGACTAATTCATCAAAAAGGAAAGTAGAAATACACTTAATACTGAAAAAAAGATCATAAAAATCTCATTTTTTTTCTACTTATTGACTAATTCATAAAAAGGGGCAGTAGAATTATACTTGATACTGAAAAAATAATCATAGAATATCTGATTTTCTACTTGAATTAACAAACCTGAGGAGTGGAAGCATTTCCATTTCTTGGGAAAAGAAACAAGAGTGTGTTGGTAAAAGCAAGGCAGAGATTTCTGATGTAGAATCTTGAAATCTTGATTATACTGCTGCTGCTGAAGAAGAAATTTACTACTGAGACTCATTTTTTTTTTAATCTTAATTTTCAGAGAAAGTAAAGCGGAGTTTTTTGGGGGTCTAATAATATGATTCAGTGACCCAATTTTAGAAATCAATGAGTTGAATTACTAAACTAGGAAATAGTAGGGAGAATTCTTTTCTCTCCCTATTTAGGGACCAAAGCTCCTCGCAAGTCGCAACCTTTACACCAGAAAGCCGGCAACCAAAATGGGCTGGGAGATTTTGTTTTTTCATTTTATTTTATTTTATTTTATATTGGACTCAACTAAATTCGAATTCGTCCTCGTTTTCAATTTAAGAATCTTATTTAGTTTTATATATGACTATTTTTATAAGAGATGGGTGACATATAATATATTTTATCGATATAAAATACCTAAGTTTGTTTCTTTTATTACAATTGTAAGCAATTTCTCGAGAGGAAATATACATAGTAAAGAAAATGCATTTTTTAGTCTCAGTTTGTTTGGATGGTTGTGACATATTGTTTCTTGATATATCGTATTTTATCGTATTGTATTGTATTATTTTAGTCTATACAATTTTTGGATAGATTGTATCGTTTTTTGTTGTTTCATAATATCACACACCAACAATTTGAAGAATAGACTTACAATATTCTAAAGAAAAAGTAAAGTATGAGATAGAGTAATTATTAAAAAGGTAGGATTAAGAGTAAAATAGAATTATAGTAAGGGCAAAATGAGGAAAGAAAAGGTAACGACACGATCACACTAAATCGCCCGTCACATAAAAAGGGTCTTTTCGTTACGTAAATTTAACGATAAAAATACAATAAAATTAAACTAATAATCAAAACAAATATTGTATTTACAGTAACGATACGATACAGTATATAATAATCATTCAAACAAACTTTGTAATAGAAACAAGTTAAGGGATATTTGGTTCGTTCTACTACTAAAAATTGGATACATAAGATAAAATTTAGAATATGGATTTATCTTTAAATCTGATGACATTGAAAGGGTGTTAATGATGGATATGAGGTAAAGATAAATTGCATTTTTTATGTTTCATTTATGTAATGTTATTGTCACGACCCTGATTTTTCATCTTCGGGAGTCGTGATGGTGCCTACTCGTAGAAGCTAAGCAAGCCATGAAATTAGGAATTTTTAACCCTTTTGTTTTCATCCTTTTTATAACATACATTAATAAGCGATAAACATTTAAATAACAATGGAATATGAGATTTAAGCGGAAGACTTAGGTAAAATGAACCAAAATAATAAGAAACTCCACATATACCTCTACCCAGAAACTGGTATCACAACATTCACGGACTACTAAAATTACTACACACAATTGTTTGAAAGAAAGTAATACTGTCTGTCTCGAATACAAGAGATATCATAACATAGTAAGAAATAGAGGAGACGTCGGGCCTGCGGACGCCTGCAAGGCTACCTCGGTGTCTCACTAGACTGAAGGCTGGCTCCCGATCTAATGCTGCTGGCCAAACGCTGCTCCGGTATCTGCACATAAGTGCAGAGTGTAGCATCAGCACAACCGACCCCACGTGCTGGTAAGTGTCTGGCCTAACCCCGGCGAGGTAATGACGAGGCTAGGACCAGACTCTAGATAAACCTGTGCAGATATATACATATATGCAACGGAGAAATAATCCGAAACAAACAGTTAAATCTGGGAAGGGGAAACATGCTACGGGAGATAAGGCAGAATCTCAAGAGAATTATAAGGAAACCAAAATTCAACTTCTAACAAGGATAAGGAAAACAAAGGCAGATTTCACTTTCGGTTCACATCTTGTTGCAGGCATGCAACCCGATCCCATTTCATTATATCTTGTGGTAGGCGTACCACCCGCTCCCATTTCAATAATTCTTGTGGTAGGCGTACCATCCGCTCTCATTTCAATAATTCTTGTGGTAGGCGTACCACCGCTCCCATTTCAATAATTCTTGTGGTAGGCATATCACCCGCTCCCATTTCAAGCCAACAATAATCACAAGAAGTCCCGGCAAGGGAACAAGAGCAATATAACAACTTCCCGGCAAGGGAACAATGATATTCCAACAACATCCCGGCAAGGGATCATTAACCTCAAACAAACATCCCGGCGAGGGAATAGTGGTGATAATTACATATGAAGCGCAGTAAACCACAGTGGAGTCATGACAGTTACAATACAAGACTTACGGGCATGCTTGACACCAACGTATAGATACTCGTCACCATGCCTATATGTCGTACTCCACAATTAGCATGTAGCAAATAAGACACAACTCCTAATCCCTCAAACTAAGGTTAGACCAAACACTTACCTCAATGCCTCGAACATAACTCAAGTTTCAATTATAGCTTTACCACTTGATTCCACCGCCAATTCACTCGTATCTAGCCACAAATTACTTAATTACATCAATAAACGCTAAATAAATCAACTCCAATGCATGAAAATGAGTTTTTCAAAATTTTACCCAAAAAGTCAAAATCGCCCCCGGGCCCACATGGTCAAAACTCGAGGTTCGAACCAAAATCCGATTACCCATTCCCCCACGAACCCAATTATATGATTTATTTTGAAATCGGACCTCAAATCGAGGTCCAAATCCCCAATTTTGTAAAAACCTAGGTTCTACCCAAAACACCCAATTTCCTCCATGAAAATCATTGATTTGAAGTTAAAATCATGTTAAAAGATGTTAATAATTGAAGAAAACTAGTTAAAAATGACTTACAATTGATTTGGAGAAGAAATGTTGTTTGAAAAATCGCCTCTTATGTTTTTGGGGTTTTGAAAAGTGAAAAATAACTGAAAATCCCGTCTATTTATACTATTCTCAGGTGCCCTATGCGGACCGCACAAAACCGACCGCGGCTGCACAGCCCTCCACCACGGACTGCACAAAGTCGACCGCGGCCGCACAACCTTTCATTGCGGACCGCACATAGTCGACTGCAGACCACACATAGTCGACTGCGGACCGCACTAGCGGGTTCAGAGACTTGTGACTTTCTCTGAACCTGCAACATCTGGTTTTAAGCTTAAGGCATCCCGGAACCTACCCGAAACTCACCGGAGCCCTCGGGGCTCCTAACCAACATACGTACTAACTCAATGACATCATACGAATTTATCCTTGCGATCAAATCGCCAAAATAACCTCAATAACAATGAATTAAACCTCAAAATCAAAGGATTTTTCTCAAACTTCATCGACTATCAACTTTAGCAATTTAGGTCCGAATCACGTCAAATGACATCCGTTTTTCACCAAATTTTACAGAAATATCTTAAATCATATGTAAGACCTATACCGGGCACCGGAACCAAAATACGGGCCCGATACCATCATGTTCTAATCAAATTTCATTTCAAATTTTCTTAAACAATTTCAGAAAATATTTTCTTTGAAAAATTCATTTCTCAGGCTTGGGACCTTAGAATTCAATTCCAGGCATACGCCCAAGTCCCATATTTTCCTACGAACCTTCCGAGACCGTCGAATCACGGATCTGGGTCCGTTTACCCAAAAATATTGACCGAAGTCAAACTAACTCATTTTATAACCAAATTTTATCATTTTTCATAGAATTTCATATTTAAGCTTTCCGGCTACGCGCCCGGACCGCGCACACAAATCGAGGTAATGATAAATGAGGTTCTCAAGGTCTCAGAATACAGAATTCAATTAAAAATAGACGATGACCCTTTTGGGTTGTCACAGTTATTCCATTTTATATTAAGTATAAAATAATACACCAATTGATGTGTCAGAACTATACCATGATTAGCAATGTAGGATTTAAAATACAAACCAAAAAATGGATAAAGTAATAGAGAATATTAGACGCATAATTATTTTATCTAATAAATCAAACTAGACGTATTTTTAATATATTTTAACATGTTATAGTAAGTATATTATCTTATTTTCTAGGTTAAAATTTTTATTTTTATAACGGTTAATTGTATTTATTTTTAAGCAGCTTAATGTTGTAATTATTTAATGACCCAATTTTAGCCATTTATGAGTTGAATTAATGAGGGAAGATTTAAGAGGATTTTTACTTTAGCCTAGTTGTTTACTTAAGTTTCAATGCCCACCAAAATCCATAGGGAAGGGACCAAAGCTCCTAGCAACCAAATAAAAAGGATCAAATACCTAATTGTTTCTTTTTTGAGTTACTTCATTAAGGCATATATCTATGTGGATCCTACCTCAATTTTACAATTACTCCATTATTAAATACCCAAGAATTAAAAAAAAATGAATGCGCCTTTAAGATGGCTGATATTTACAAATAGCCATTTATCAATCCTTTAATTGGAATATAGTCACTGTTATGTAGTTTAAAATTTCATAGGTAGGGCCAGAGCTAGTGTGTGTCTTACCGGTTAGTCCAAACCTAATAATTTTGGTCTAAACCTTATATTTATCCTAAGAAATTTATTGGATATGCACAAATTTATTAATTTATTTAGAACTCAATAATTTAAAAATATTAAAATTCTGAACTTAAAAACTTCAAATCCTAGTTTTGCCTCTGTTCATAGGTGCAACTTCAGACATAGGTGTAACTCCAGGATATTATCATGTAGTTTCACCTATGAAAATTGAAACTCCATAACAATAGCTATTTTTCTATTACAGGGTTGAAAATGTGGCTATTACTACACTATCAATCAAACTACATTGGCTTCATTATTTTCCACGTAATGATACCAGGTAGCCACTTTTAAGTATGATGTTTAAAATATATTTATATTTTATAATGCATTTAAAGATTAGCCAATTTCACTTAAACATCAAGACACGACATCTTAGAGTTTAAACATCAAAGTTCAAACTTCAGGACATTATGTCCTAAAATTCGAAAATTGTGTCAAGAAGTTCGAATCTTATATCCTGATTTTAAATTAGTAGTTCAGAAATTCAGGGCACTTAGTCCTGAATTTCAAATTAGCATTTCAAAAATTCAGGACCCTCGGCCCAAGAAAACGAAAAGATGAAAAGAGAAAATATATCAGTACCATCAATAAAAACACATGGAAATAATAAAGACATCACAAGAACCAGTGAATAAATGGAAAGCAGAAATAATAACCAGTAAATAACGGAAGAGTGGTGAAAACACAACACTGACCACTAGCAGTCTAAGACTAAATCCTATCAGTCTAGCCTTACACTGGTAGACTAACTGAAGCTCAACTACCTCTTAA